CAAAGTCACTGGAACTCTGAAGCTGACTTGGGGATGAAAGAGAGATTCTACTTTGGAAGCAGCAAAAGTTTCTAAATTTTCTAATATTGCCTGCACAATATCTTCAACTACATTTATTTTTGTCTGTTTGTCAACATTCCAGCTCGACTGAATGTCACATGGATTTCCATTTAAGACACTTAGAGGTTGGTTTCCTGGATAGGTATGCTCACGATAAGAAACATTGGTGGAAAAGATGATTGTTTCACATCTGTTTCCACTTTCATGTTTTTCTGTCGTGGCAGCTGAATACAGTTTGTGAAATACAGTCCTAACAACATCATTCACCACCTTAGTTACATCTGTGTCAGACACTAAAGGGCCCATCAAAGGATCCATAAATTGAGCAGACGTTTGAGTAGTTGACACAGGGACATTATAAGGCATACTACTAAAATGAGAGTGTGAGAGAGAAACAACATTTAATTGATTGATTAATGCACTTTGAAAAATTTCATTCAAAATATTTCTTATAATGGGAACAATTGGAGATTTGTGTGGTTCTTTGAGTTTTACTTCAATCTTGTTCAAGGTTCTTTCTAGAACCCACTGGTCAGTAGAAAGGGTTCTAGTTTCTTCTGTGGGTGATGTTCTATCTCCAATGAATTCTTTATTTTGTGTGTCATCATCTAGAAATGACCCTGTTTCAGCTCCTCCAGGAAGAAAATTCCCATAAATTGGTCGATATCGATAATTTTCAATGTCTCTGTGCTCAGATTCAGGTTCAATAAACATATCTGAAGATACTACATCCAAAATTAAATCAACTATATTTGTAAGCATTTTTGTCTCCTGTGGCGAGTTCTTTGTATTTTTCTTACAATCTGATGGGTTAATATTTAATTCTGTTTGAATGGCTTTCAAAATAGCACTTGATGCCTTCTTTGCATGAGTGTATAAAGTAGATTGCAATGATTTATCATGTGAATCTGTGGGAGAATTTTTGCTTTCACATTCCCAATCCATTTTATTCTCTGTTTTATTTTCATCATTAAGAACACCAATATTTTCTACATTTCTATTGGCAAATCCTTCCAGTTTAGCAAAAACCATGTTAAGAATATCTGATGCAATGGTTTTCAGTTTATTTGGGCACATTTCTTTTGAGTTCTCTGTTTTGGGAGACGCTGGGAGATCATTTCTTGCTTTATTTTTCTTAATCTCTTTATTACCCATCATCATTTTGGAAATTATATTAGAGATGATGTTGATGCATTTGGCCATTTCCTCCATAGTTGAAGCAAATGATAGGTTGTCAATGTCAAGTGACTCTGCGCCAGTTTTCAATCCAGAATTTACAATGCTGGTATCTATGTTAATATCACATAATTTTGCAAGGACATATTCCAGAATTGCATTGGAAATTAGTTGAACATTAGATAGTGTTGGAGGATCTTTACGTAAGTTCTCTGTGTTTTGCTGACTACAAGATGGCTGAGAATCAGGGTGGGAACCTGTGAGTTTGCTTAACATTTCATGCAGTGTTTCTCCAATTCGATCTAATACCTGCAACTTGGAACTATCTTTCAAATCCTTTCCATTAACGATACTGTGGTGAATACAAGGTGTAGCCAAATATTGTAGAAAAGAATTTTTATCCTGTTTACTTGACAAAATGTTTTGTTTATTAGCATTTTCAGACCCGCAGAACATTGTAGAAACTGCCTTATCTGTAGAGGTGGAAGTATTTGTTTGATCTTCATTTGCACTTGATATCAGTTCATAAATACATGTCAGTAATGGACTTTCCATAACATCACTGAAGCCGGTGACATGGGAGTCTACTGCTTCATTGGAATCGGCAAACCACCCTTTGCTTGTACAACACTTGGTATGGTCTGTCTCCCTAGGATTTGGGTTTATCTTGGTGAATTCTAGTTCGTTCTGTATAGCATCTAAAACAATATTGACTATTTTCATTGTGTAAGTACTAAGTTGAGAATGCAATGATTTCCCTACCAGTGAAGACTTTTTACCTGTCTGTAATTTTGGACAAACAAATAACTTCAGACTTTTAAAAATTGTATTAATGATCTTATCAGTAATATCATTTACATACTTAGGTTCACATTCTCGAGATCTTAATGGGGAAGTCTTTTCAAGCTCTATATTGAGTGAAGATAAATATTTCATTTTCTTTTCACTGTCAAACCATACTTTGAATGGCATTTTACTTGATTTTTCCTTGGTTGTTTGGGAAGTATCAGGATGATCTAGACAACTTTGATGAACTGATGAAATGGTGTTTTTAATGGCATTAGGAATGCACTTCGAGGCCTTATAAAGTATATTTATCACCGAATCAGTTATTTCATGTGCAAATGCACAAATTTCTGACTCAGAAAACATCTCTTCTATCCATTCTTGATCTGATAATCCTTTAGATTTTTCTGAGATGAAAGCAGAGGTCTCTTGACCAATTTTTCTTCCTGGGTGATGAGATGAAACAAAAGACATATCATTGAGCATTTCTGTTAAAATGTGTTTAATTATGTTTTCTGAAGCCTTTTGGATTTGATGTTTTTGATCTTGGCTGAAAATTGAAGCATCATTAGTCAAGCAATGTTTTGTCTTCATAATGTCTTCACTACTAAGAGATAACTTCAACTTTAATCCGCAGTCATGAGATCCAACTTTGCTTTGAGAGGTAGGTTTTGTTGGTACTTTATTGCTCCTTTTAGATTCAAAACAAGTGTCTCTCCTTGTAGGCCAATGAATAGGAATCTGCTCTTGTGGTTTTATTTTTTCATCACTGAGGGATGAATCAAGCACACTTCTCACAAGGTTATCTATTTCCTCATCATCATCTTCAGAATAGAGAACCATGCCTGGAACATTAATAGGGGGAAATGATCTTCTAGTTCTAAGACAATTAAATGTGCCAGTGCTAGTGAGTCTATACTTTTCTTCAGCATCAGGAAGATTTCTTACTCGAGGTTGTCTATGTTTTTGAACACCTGCTTTTGCTGGCCCCTGGTGAAGTTGAGTTAAGACATCATCCAGTAGCTGAAGAAGTACTATTGTTTCTTCAGATGCAATTAGTCTCTCATTATTAAGTTCAGTTTGTACACAGTCTAGTATAGTGCTTATTGCTTCTTCTACATAACCAACTAGATAGGACTGTGAAAAAATATTTGATATTAAGTTTTGTAATTTTTCTTTCACAATTAGATCAGCAGCATCAGATTCTGGACCAGATTTCTTTTGGACAGTTTTTTGATGAAATTTATCAAAAATTGGCTCTGTCTTAATTTTTTGGTGGAAATGTTTAGTTGTGTCTTCAAGAGGAAGTTCACTTTTCTTATAAGACGTAAGAGTCATCAACTTATCTAAAATGGCATGTACCATATCATCTGCAATATCACACATTGGCTCCAAGGTAGACGTCAGTGTATCTTCTGAAGGTTTTGTATCTAAGGATGAGAAATAGTCAGCACTATCAGAGAAACTTGTTTTAATATCAACTGTCAAATCTTCTTGTGAAAACATCTGCACACATTGTTTCTCAACAGCGGACTCCAGTCTTTGCAGTATATTTTCCACAATCTCTGAAGCTACTGAGCATATGTCAACATTTGAGAGCAAGTCCTCTCTCTCTGTATCACATTGGTCAACAAAAACTTCAGCAGTCACAGAAGAAAGAGAAGGAATGGCCTGGGTTAAGTCAGATATTATTTCTTGAAAAATACTTTCTAAAATAAGTTCTGTTTCTCCCTTCAAGTGACATTTAAAGTTTACAAAAACATTCTTTAAATTTTTCATCTGATCCATGGCCTTTGGTTTTTTGTCATATAGAAATGGAATCTCTAAACTATCTGTTTCTGTGGTAACATCTTTCGATTTTTTGGTGCTTGTTTCTAATGATGTTAACAGGTAACTATCAGATTTACTGCTTCCTATCTTAGGAAATGGATATTCCAAGCTGGTTTTGTGGTAATTGACTTGTGAAGATGGAGATTGTCCCCTCACTTGATATTTTGTGCCAGTAACTGTTTTTGCCACATGTGCAGAAGGAGGTTTCAAAGGTATGGGTGGTTTCTTCACTGGCCTGTCACTGGCAGGACATGGATCTGCTTGAAATGCTTTAGGTATGTAGCTTCTGTATGTGAAGCCCTCACTGCATGTACTACAGAAACTTGAACTATCCGAAGAAAGGTCTGAGTCATCAGACACTGGATAAGTATTACTCTGCACTCTTTCTTCATATTTTGTGATGGCTGGATATAATATACTGGTTACTGTAGCTACAACCCACGTCATTATATTTTGAATTATGCTATTTAGTTC